GTTCCTAAAGGATATTAAGGATCTTTTCTTTAGATAGTCAATTAATATATACTTAGGATATCCCTAGCAGTAATACCTTTGGCGCTTATTTACATCTGACAAAACTAAAGCAAATATATGTTAATATTTCTCCTTGTTACCGCCCCTCAAAGAAGAGGCCTTTCTACATATCCTTCTGCAGAAATCAAAGGTTTTGCTATATTGGTATTTACTTGTCAGCTTCTATTTTTTTTTTTTTTTTTTTGGTGGGACCCTCGCTAATGGCCGGGGGTCGAACTGGTGCTACAGACGCTGCAGGCAGCCTCGCAACCCAGCGCTCAACTGCTGTACCACCAGGGGAGGCCCTAGCTTCTATTTTTTTTTAGAAAAAGTTTTTGAAAAAAGGAATGATGTTCAATGACACTATAATACTTGTTTTCACTTTTTCTCACACTAGCACAAATAAAAATATATTGTTTAGCTAAAGCCTCCCTAAAACATTTGGAGGGAGAGAGGACTGTTGATCCACTCATTCTTAGGTATTTAAATCTGCCTGTTCTGTTCCCCACTCTGTCTTTGATGACTCTTTCACCCCCCATACCTCTGACCTATAACCTAGCTCTTGTATGCATAAATAAATAAATCTTTAAAAAAAAAAAAGAACTCTGGTGTAAGATTCAGTTGCACAAATTTCTTAATGGATGGGATTTTGGTACTCTCAACTATATCTCTCCAGAATGCAATTGCTTTAAGTAATTTTAAGCAGGACCCAAAGGATTGCCTCTTTTACGAAGTAAGGATGGGACAGGTTCCTAGTTGGGGGCTCAGCAGAATCATCACCTGTGTCTTAAAAATAAAACCATGCTGAAACAAAACAAAGCCTCCAGTTGGCTTTCTTCTGGCTGAGATGCCCACCATTGCCATTCTGGTATACAGTCTTCTGTCAAATTATGAAATGATAGTTTTGTTTTGATTGTTCAAATGCTTTCCCTATTGCTTTCTAACTATTTCACTCATTTCCAAGAAGATTTGTACACTCACCAAACTCTGCCCAAGTTCCAGCCACAACTTTTGAGAAACAGCCTCCACTTTGTTTATTTCAGTTTTATCATCTCTGTCTTCCTCTCCTCATGTGTTGAATCTGTGTAGTTGATTTCAGACTGATTCTTAGATGAAGAAAATTTGCTAATTAGTTCATATTAAGTTATAATATACTGGTAAATAAAATGCCTCTGATGGGAACAGATAAGTACTCTAAGAGGGAGGAGGTAGCCTAAATTGATGTCAGTGTCCTGTATTAGTGGGATATTTCTTAAGCCTGGTTGAAGTATCCAAGGAGTAGGGCACCTTATGCCCATATGGACTGAAATGTCAAAGTGACATTCTAGGAGACACATCTACTATATCTCAACAGACAATGTTTTCTAGGATCCATCATTTCTGAAAATGAAGTAGCTAATTCAGGTTACTTAGAGCAGTGAGTTACCTTTATCCCAGAGCCATGTGTTCAAGATGTAATTGTTACAAGGAGTACAAAAGCTCAAATTGCCAGCAAGCTCAAGGGTAATTGTACTGAAGAAAAGTTATCTTTATTTAACTTTCCTAAATTATGTACTCATAGCACTGAAAACTGCCATAGCCTTCTTGTTTCAAATTAAGTGGATTATTTGTTTGTGATAATGGGCACATATGCTCATCAACATATTGTCATAAACAATGGCATTAAATGCATGATGTGTTTGGTGACATAAATAAGGTAGTCATCCTGAGGTTGTTGTTTAAAATATAGGCCCCAAGAAGAGCAAAAAAAGCAAGAAATGCTTTTTACTCTAGTTGCCTGATCTTGAATTCTAAATTTATTTCTACCTTGTTAATGCTACTCATGTGGAAATTGCAGGTAACACCCTAGTGAAATATCTTGACATTCAAGGACATTCAAACTTTCTGCTTTCACATCCTTGGCATATCTCAAGCTGGGTGTTTACTAGTATGTGTTTCTTTTCTTGCAAAGGAGGACATTGACAGAGGAGAGGCATTTATAGCAATATCAGTCATATCTCACTGAGTTTAGAGCTGGATTCATTTAATGGATGCTTTTATCTCAGGCTAGTATGTAAGTTTCCTAATTGAATGTAAAAGTTAGAGATCATCTGATTCAAGTCCTTCTTTTTATAGATGAGGAAACTGAGGTTTTGAGGACTTAAAAGACTCCTTTCAGTTACAGGTCTTTTTTTTTTAATTTTAATTTTTTTAAACAATATTTGCTTCTCACCACCCCCTCAGGTTGAGTCCCCATAGGATTTCCTTCCCCAAGGCACCCGTGCACCATCACCACAGTCTCCTGCTCTCCTCACTCCCTCCCCCTCCCCCACATCATGTCTCTGATTCATAATTGTCTGTTTTTGTTTCTTTGTGTTTTGTACTGTTACCTTTTTTTTACACTGATATCTTATTTGGTTCCCCTATATTCCTGTTACAAGTGAAACCATCCAATGTATTTCTTTTTCCTTCTGGCTTTTTTCACTGAGCATATTTCCTTCTAGCTCCATCCGTGTTCCTGCGAATGGCATGAGTTTATCTTTTTTGATTGCTGAATAATATTCCATTGTGTATATATACCACATCTTCTTGATCCAGTCAGGACCAAGATCTAAGAGCCGGACTCCCAGTTTGCTTTCCAATGAAAGAGTGGGTGGTGCTACAGTTAGGTTTTTTAAAATAAAAGAATCAATGAGGATGAGGAGCTAGTTGGACAGTGAGAGAGCCAGGATGTATCTTTCGGGGTCTTTATGGTATCATCTGTGGTAGATTTTAATGCTCACTCCTACTTTACAATTTACTTTAATGAACAAAGTTCCAGCTTCTTACATTTACTCTAAAACTTAGTTGAATGTAAAGTGAGTATGTGAGAATGAATGATACTGTTCATCAGGCACAGTTCAAGAGAAAAGAGAAAAGTAACCAATTCCAAATGTAAGAATTAGAAAAATAGGGGGTGGTCTATAAAATCATGGATCACAATGAGAAGCTGTTTAGCTTATTTTCACTGAAAAGTGGCATGTAAAAAATTAGGAATAATTCTGTCCTTTGGAGGTAGTTGTAATAAGTCTTTATGAGAATATTAATTATAAGCAATTTTGATGCCTGCCTTTTAAATGATAGAAAACTGGAAAATTTTCACAAAGTACAATAAAAATTATTCCTATTACAAAAAAATTAAGAAAGTTAATAAAGTTGGTTTGTTTTTCTGAGAAAAATAAAGAGGAAAACATAGTGTGGGGGGTAGTTTTATATGTATTTTTTTTTTTTTTATTTTTATTTTTATATAGAGGCATGTTTTTCTTTTCTTTCTTTCCTTCTTTGTTTTTTTTGTTTATACATGCACTGGGTACAGTCAGAAGCGCGGGAGGGTGAGAGAATTCACTAGAGCCAGAGCGGGGAGCAGAGCAGGCAGAAGGACCGAAGCACACTGCTGAGGGGAGCAGCGGGCGGCAGGAGAGGTCTGCACGCCATGTGGGACCCTCCTCCGGTGGCCGGGGAGCAGCCGGGGATCGAACCGGCGCCGCAGAGGCTGCGGGCAGCTTCGCAACCCAGCGCTCAACCGCTGCGCCACCGGGGAGGCCCTGGGGGTAGTTTTAAAGAAATTAAGTGTTGCTTCAAGAGAATGAAAGGCTCAGGCCTCCCCTGGTGGTGCAGCAGTTGAGCGCTGGGCTGTGAAACTGCCTTCAGCCTCTGCAGTGCCAGTTCAATCCCCGGCCACCAGCGAGGGTTTCACATGTTGCGGCAGATCTCTCCTGCCATGCCCGCTGCTCTCCTCAGCGGTGTATTTTGCCAGTCTGCCTGTTCTGCTCCCCGCTCTGGCTCTGGTGAATTCTCTCACCTTACTGAGCTTCTGACTGTGCCCAGTGCTTGTATAAATAAATAAATCTTAAAAAGAGAGAGAGAGAGAGAATTAAGGGCTCTCACAAAGAAATGCCCATCTTCTATGCATTTTTTTTACAAGGTGATTCAGGAGAAAATGGAATTACATGGTAACAAGAAAATTCAGTTAGACTCTAAGAAGATCAAATATTGAAAACAAGATGCCAGGGGACTTTGCAGAATCTCTAGCCCCAGAGATCATTAAAAATGGAATTGAAAGTAATTTGACTTGAATGATTTAGGTAAATACCTGTCTGAGCAAAGGTGAACCCAATGACCTCTGGAGACCTCTTCAAAGTTTTTGATTCAACAGCCAAACATTCTACCAGCCTCAAAAAGAATATACTTTAGCTAATTATACTTGACTCATCCCCTCAGGATTCTTAAATGACTTTCTGTTCCTCCTGTTGATTTCTTCTGTTCATTTATGTTTATGGAGGAAAATACAACTATAATATTCACATAGAGTCCCTGGCTCATGAACAACATTTGGGTGGAAATTAAGACACATCAGGGAATTGTGATTTTAAGTAGAAACTTTACTGACTTGCTTTTGCAATGGGATTTTTCACCTACTTTATAAAACCCAATTGAGCTTTGTTCTAAATAAATTTTCCTTCTCTGTTCTTGGTTGACTTTTGTTGTTGTTCATGAAACACTGCCTATTTTTAAAAATTTTAATGGATACTATAATCAGAATGCAAAGATAGAAATAGTCTCTCAAATCTTAGGTACTCCGCTATGAACCATTGCTACTTTAAAATATCTAGTTTGTTTTTTTTTTTTTTAATATTAGTTTTTTCCTCTAAATTTCAAGTATTCATTGATATGTGATAATGACTGTGACTATATATAAAAGTTACTATATGACTAGAAATAATGACTATATTTGTATGATTTCTTAATTTATCATAGTATTGCTTTAGGTTAATTGTTTCATTAATTATGCTTTTTTACTTCTTTTACGCAATATACTTCATTTTAAGTTTCTTTGACTCTTGAATATTTATCAAAGCCCCAGTTCTTTTGAAAAAGGCAGGGAATTTCCACTCTGAGACTTATTTGACTAAGTGACGATGTTTCCTTTGTCCCTTTTCTAGGTTTCCAGATTAAGGCTTTCACATCACTGCACTTCCTGTCAGAACCTTCTGATGCTGTCACCATGCGTGGAGGAAACGTCCTCCTGAACTGCTCCGCTGAGTCTGACCGAGGAATCCCAGTCATCACGTGGAAAAAAGATGGCATCCACTTAGCCTTGGGGATGGATGAAAGGAAGCAGCAACTTCCAAATGGATCTCTGCTGATACAGAACATACTTCACTCCAGGCACCATAAGCCAGATGAGGGACTTTACCAATGTGAGGCATCTTTAGGAGATTCCGGGTCCATTATTAGTCGGACAGCAAAAGTTGCAGTGGCAGGTAAGTCCATATTCTGCTTTCTTCTCTTCTCCATTTCCTCTTGCTCCTTTGTGAGGATAAGGAAATAATGTTTACAGAATATAAATGTATAAGAATATACATTTTTTAAGAAAAATGAATCTATCTCTATCTATATGTATATATAAAATATATGTTTATCCCTTCATGGTTTAATTGACTTTTCTCCTAAAATGAGCGTGGGAAGTAACAGAAGGATCTCAACAATTAAACAGAATGATGAGGTTTTTAAAACTAAGTCTAGCTTAAGTTGATCTACTGTTTATGTCTAAGGAAGGACTATCCATTTCTTACCACGGATGGTAAGAAATAATTGGAAAATAATTTCCAAATTAATTCCATTTTTAGCTTAATAATGCTGTCATTTTGTATATATATATATATATTTTTTTTTTACTTCATAACAGTAAATTTTATTTTAGTTGTAATGATTTGACCTACAACATCGAGGTGTCCAAATGCTTTCAAATGTTTTCATTAGTGCTTCTAAAAATCTTAATTTTTGGTAATGTGCTGGTTTTAATAATTGAACAGTAAGATAAACAATTTATTGTTATCTGGATATTTTAAAGCAGTGTAGACCCTGAAAAAACAGTGTTTTTGAATATTTGTGGTATCTGTTGATATTGCTATTTCTGCTCCACTTATTTTGGGTAAAGAGGAATTCCATAATTATTTATTTTGGGTCCAACAGTGTTAAATAAGCCTGAGGGAGAAGAATCAAATTCTTCTCTATAATGATTGTCTAAGGATTGAACTTTGGGGTGTGTGTGTGTGCATGCGCGCACGTGTGCATGTGCGTGCGTGCATCCGTGCATGTGTGTGAGCGTGTGTAATTTTGATCTGGGACACTAAACAAGGCAAATGGATCCAACCTAAAATAAATTTACACCTTCAAATACATGTTGCAGAGCTGCTTTCAAACTTAACCTTTAGGTCTGAGAAAAAACCAAGAGCCTATATTTAATTGCTTCAAATGTGTTTCCAAAGTCTCATTCAGTCTATATCTTGGAAGTGTGATGAGACTGAGGACTCATTTTCTAGGACAACAGGGAGGGGCAACCTTTCATTTTCTAATGAAAGTGCAACAAAGTTGAAAAAGCGGTGGTTTTATCAGGTGGTGGTGTCAGAAGATTTCATAGATGTGCAATAAGATTAGTGTCATGCCACTCTTGGGGCGTCTTTTTCCTCAAAGGATTCTCTTAATCATTTAGACCATAATGTATTGTAAACAATGTAATGTCCTTGTGAGCTATGTTTTCACCTGGAGGTACAGTGACCATCCATCCTGGTTTAACCTAGACTTGCCTTATTGTAGCACCAGAAAGTCCTTATTCTTAGAAGCCACTCCATTCCACCCCTGGGAGGGTTAATCACCCCACCGCCCCGCCCACCACTAGTATTGCCCCACTGCAGCACAGATGCAGAACGTTCCCTTTACTCTGGAGACACATGAGGTGGCATCTTGATCATGAAACAAGGCTAGAAGCCTCCAGGACCTTTGAGTGATGGGTGTCTGGAATTTGATTGATGAACATAAAGTGTTCTATGAGAACTGAAAGTCTCTATGTCAATTTTGATTGATTAAAAGGAACAAAGGGAACTGGGCTGAGGTAAAAGCTGTTTTTCTGGAATGTTCCATATGGAGTAGAAAGGGTGCATTTTTATTTATTTATTTTTTTCTCATTAGAGAATTCCTGGACTCTCGACTCCACCCATCTGTCACTCACAGTACCAATTTGAATGAATTTGGCTAACTTTTTGATGCCCTGTTCCAAAAGACCGATGTATGTGTGCTGTTAATGAAAATGGCCTGGTCCGTTGTGACTTCAGTTTTCCTGCCATCTAGATTCACTTTTGCCTGTTCTGTTTTTAGTGGTGAAATGAAGAATGATTCCTTTCCTGTGAGATATTAAAATAAAGTGGCTTCGACTTTCATATTCTGTACAAGGATAGACTGGCAGATTCAGTCACTGAGTTACAATCTAATATTAGATTGTATCATTTCAAGGCAATAAGGCTGTTCACAGCATTTTAAACACTTACCATGCCGTTTGGCAACACAGCATACATCAATGTTATGTCTGCTGAGGTTAAGATTGCCAAACCGCTGGAATACACGAGGGGCATATATCTTCCTTGTAATAAAGACCATGGGCCTGATTTAATCTCATTTTTAAAGCATTAGCAGTCAATAAAGCAGTCACCACTAAAAGGTAACAGTCAGCTTTTCTTGGGCAAAAAAAAAAAAATCTGTTCTTGGGGTCCAGGTGCCATGCAGAGCCCATTTAAAATAATGTGCCTCTTCCATTTTTGATTTCTCAAAGTGTCTTTTGATAAAAAATGTGGCCAGTGAAATCTGTCTTTAATCAGTAAATACCTATGTAATGGTCTTGCCATGCACTGTTCACATCCTGTTTTCTAGGGACTTCTCAAGTGCTCTTTAAACCCTTAGAGCACACTTAAGTGGAGAAGGACAGAGTAGGAAAGACAAAGAATGACCCTCCCATTCAACAACTTGTTAAAAGTCTCAGTGTAACAGGTGCTATTGGCATTCCTGATGGTTGCGAGTTTGGTGGATAAGAATTGCCTGGGCTCCTAAGTGTCCATTTCAAAGCAACCTGGCCAGTACTGGCTGAAATGTGGGGGTTTGGTTTGCATCTGATTAGTGCTAATCTAAAATAGTACAGTATTTCCCTGTATATACCTTTATCTAGCCTCTCTTAAAGACAGAAATAGAGTCGAACATTTTTTTTTTTTTTTTTGTGGGACCCTTGCCTGCGACGGGGTGGGGAAACGAACCGGCACTGCAGAGGCTGCGGGCAGCCTCGCAGCCCAGCGCTCAACCGCTGTGCCACCAGGGGAGGCCCTAGAGTCCAACTTATAATGGTTCACCTACCACCCTCTCCATTCTATAGAAGCAAATCATCAGGTATATTTAGTAGTTGTTCATAGACTTTTGTTTTACTAGTGAAGACGCAGCGATTTATGCCATACATGGAAAGTTTTAAGTCATTGTTCCCTTCTGCCTCCTCCATTCCTTTTTCTCCTTATTTTTAATTTTTTAAATTTTTTTTACATTGTTGTTCATTTTTAAAAAATATTTGCTTCCCCCCACCCCCTCAGGTGTCATCCCTAAGGAATTTCCTCCCCCAGTGCACCTGTGCGCCATCATCTTAGTCCCCTGTGCTCCTCCCTCCCTCCCTCCTCCTCCCCTGCAGGATGTCTCTGATTTATAATTGTCTGTTTTTGCTTTGTTGTGTTTTGTACTGTTACTATTTTTTTCACACCGATGTCTTGTTTGGTTCCCCTATATTCCTGCTGTAAGTGAAACCATCCAGTATTTTTCTTTTTCCTTCTGGCTTATTTCACTGAGCATAATTTCTTCTAGCTCCACCCACGTTGCTGCAAATGGCATGAGTTTATCTTTGTGATTGCTGAATGATATTCCATTGTGTATATATGCCACATCTTCTTGATCCAATCATCTATCTTTGGGCATTTGGGTTGTTTCCAGGTTTTACGTATTGTAAATAGTGCTGCAATAAACATAGGGGAACAGGTGTTCTTTTGAATCACTGTTTTTGTGTCCTTAGGGTAGATCCCAAGGAGTGGAATTGCTGGATCATATGGTAGCTCCATTTTTAGTAGACTGAGGAAATTCCAGACAGCTTTCCACAGTGGTTGGACCAGTTTGCACTCCCACCAGCAATTTAGGAGAGTTCCTTTTTCATCACATCCTTGCCAACATTTGTTGTAACTAGTTTTTTAAATATGTGCCATTCTTACTGGTGTAAGGTGGTATCTCAGTGTGGTTTTGATTTGCATTTCCCTTATTATCAGGGATGTTGAACATTTTTTCATATGCTTGTTGGCCATTTGCATTTCCTCTTTGGAGAAATGTCTTTTAAGTTAGCTATACTATAAAGCCATAATAATTAAAACAGTTTGGTATTGGAACAAAAACAGACACAGACCAATGGAACTGAATAGAGAGCCCAGAAGTATAGCCACACTTATATGGACAACTAATTTTTGACAAAGGAGCAAATAGAACCAGGACAGTTTGTTCAATAAATGGTGCTGAGAAAACTGGACCAACATATCCAAAAAATGAAACTAGACTACTCTCTCCATGCACAAAAATCAACTCAAAATGGATAAAAGACCTGGACATAAGACCTGAAACCATAAAATATATAGAAGAAAATATAGGTAAAATACTACAAAGCATACATCTCAGTAACATCTTTAAAGACTCATCACCCAAAGCAAAGAAAGTCAAGAAAAAGATAAACACCTGGGATGACATCAAACTAAAAAGCTTCTGTACAGCAAGAGACATTAACCAAAGCAGAGAGACAACCCACCGACTGGGAAAAATTTTTTTCACTCCATGCAACTGATAAGGGACTGATCACAAAGATACAAAGAACTCAGACGTGCCTCAATAAAAACAAGGGAAACAATACTGTCAAGAAATGGGCAGAAGAACTTTTTCTCCTTTTTTATTGAACTTGATAGTACTAGTTAAACTTACCTGCTTGTGTGCCTTTGTAAACATACCTTTGATGGACTGAATTGGAATGATTTCCTTAATATTTCAGTAGTCTACACATTAACTATTGAGGACTTACAAATTAGAACATGGATAACAGTGAAATAGTCATATGCTACTTAAAAAAGAAAAACATGTGCCAGTTCCTCATTTCTTCATAACCCATAGCATCAAGGTGAGCTCACATTTGACCAAACACATCTCCATCCTCCAGACATTGCCAGCTCTTTGAACTTCTAGTTTCTCTTCTATAAAATAAATATAAAGGTAACTTACTTCCTAAGGTTATGAAGACTTATAAATAGAATCTAGTCCTATAAAACCTTCTAAGGCAGAGAACAATTTCCCTACTACCTTTTGGTTGATTAATCATATTAATATCAGACTGATTGGTAAGAGAAATGTCAAAATTAACTTCAACTGT